TTTCTTGTAAGCCATATAATTCTTAACCCCAAATAGTTTGGATAATGATTGGTTTTAATTTTCAGCCACTCAATTGGAAAACAGTCCCATTTACCTTGTGAATGTAATAGAATTAGTACCAATAAACCACAGGCGTCCCAAGCTCACGTCTCAAGCAAAAGCAAAGGATTATTTCATTTTTCACATTCGATTAATAAAAATTACTCATTCCTTGTGTGTCCATTGTGTTTTTTGGCGATTTCTGCTGTTTTGGGCTTGCTTTGCCATAACTGTTTTTCCAGTTATCAGACTTTGTCTCGCGTGTAAAATGTTCACATTTCAGAATATTTAGTGTTTTAAATGGACCATATTTTATTTCCCATACTATTCTTTATAATGCATTCAAATTCTCAATGGTTGCACGCGTAACTTAACACCGCATCACACAACGCATGACACTTTCATGAAATAATCCTTCGTTCTTGCTCGAGATGTGAGCTTGGGACGCCTGTGGTTAAACCAAATGAAAAAGGGAAAAGCTTGTGAAGCCATGCTAAAGCCCCACAGTGTCTTTATCTGCATTCCCTGCTGGCAGGTGAAAGGAAAGGTTGTGAAGATTTTCTAAAGTCAGGCAGTTCAATTCATTTAAGTCATAATGGCAGATTCTAACCAATTATCACAAAAAAAATACATATCCAAAAAACTTAATGATAACTGACATGGGATTTGATAAAAGTTTCAGACTTCAATAAATATCACAATATTTTCATTTCATTAGTTTTAGAGCAATGGAACTCAAAAACTTTTCTAAAACAGGGGTTCAGAACCAAATCAATCCTGGGATTACATTATTCTCATCACCAATAACAACCATCATCCAGTATTTTGTAACATCACTGTCAGCTATAAAACCATTAAATTAATTAAAGTAATATTTCTATGTCACTGAAATGAAGGTATACTCTCAAAGTTATATCCTCTTTGTCCTTTTGTAGCTCTGTAAATGTAAATTATGTGATATCCTGCAAAATCAAAAACATTGCTAATTTGATAACAGAGCTTTGAAGTCTCTAGAGTACAAAGTATAGGTCAAGTCTGTACTGGCTCACCCATCCAAGCTTATCTCAGATTCCGGGTAGCATGAAGTGATCATGAGTATTACAGTACAACTCCCCCCTGATGGGATACTTGTCCATCCCTAGGTTACCCCCCCAGCTTTTCGTCAAGCTTCTTATACTCCTGGTGAAGAGAGGCACTGTGAGAGAAAAGTTCTTTGTCCAAGGACACAACACATTGACCCACCCAGGTCTGAATCCCACACCTTTCAACTCTGAGTCAGTACACTGACCATTAGGCCACTGCATCTCCCACTTAGAGTACAAAACAAGCACAAAATTACCAATTCTTACATAAAAATAAAGAGCACTGAATAACATTAATGTATGTGGCCTCTCTTCACTAGGTCAGACATAAAGTGTTCGTACAAAGTTTATATCAGGGTTCAATGCAATCATCAATTACCTCCAGGGAGAATGCAGATAGCAGCGCACACAAAAAATATCACACTCTTCATTCCTGGATAAGATGAGCCACAAAAATATTAGTTTCATTTGCCCATGTTCATTATCTGTGGTTGCACGTCAGAAAATAATTATCAGTTGAAGTGGTAGGCTAGGATGATGCTATCAGTGAACTTTCTGCCTTAAGTGAAAGGATAAATGAAAAGTTTCTTTTACCTACTGTATTTATTCATCTATAGATATATGAATAAATACGGTAGGTATTTTTAGATAATAAAACTGACAAATTTTCAAATGAGGCCTTAAACTACTGTAAAATTGGTGTTAAAACCTTTAAAGAACAAAGTTTTCACTGATCCCTGACATCATCATTTCTTTTTTCTGTTTGACTTGGTTATGCAGTTGAGATTTTTTTTAATTTTAATAAGTTTTGAATGTGATCCTTTCAAATGATCTAGATTAGGATCAATGGTCAATTACAGATCCTCAGATCAAAGTGAATCATGATTTTTTGACACGCTTTTCATGTATTGCCCAGTTTAAACTGGCTCATAAATATAAAGTCTTGTTGAAGGAACAGCAGACTGATAGGATAGGAGTTGTTTGAAAATCATAAAATTACAAACCATCCTCTCTTGTAACAGCAAGGATTATTCCAGCTAATAGAAAGGCTAAAGGGAAGAAGAAGAAAGGCAAAAAGTAAATTTACATAAATTATTAAAAACAGCTTTATCAGTATGACAGATTTACTGTTGGCCTTAAGTAGTTTTCACTGTGGTCTACTAATTAAAACTACTTAATAGATATCTAGTATCACACTATATGAATCAAATGTAATCTAATTAATAAAAAGTTTAACAATAACTAGCAGGAGGCAAATCAGTTGGTTATTCAAAAATGTGGTTGAGGAGTTGAACTGAGGTTTGTCAAAAAAAAAACTAATCCATATGATGTTCAAAGCAAGACCTAGGCCTGCAATCCACTGATTGAAAGTCTACCATGCTCTCGACACCAGCATAGAAAGGTAAAGCAGTTTGTGAGAAATGGGCTATAATGATTATTGTATATTGTGGTCTCAGCTGAGAATGATCCATGTTATTAAAATTATTCTTTTTAAACTTAAAAAGCTCTTAATATAGAAAGAGCACAATATCCTTTAAAATATTATATTGTTCTGAAATTATACCCAGTTCTCTATCAACTTAAAAACACTTCTGGTGAAGTTTGGTTCATGATGACTTTGGCTAAACATAAAATTCAAATCATTATATACACACCAATTCCAGCCACAAACAGCAAAAAGGCAGCTGTGACAGTTTTCCAATTTTCTTTAATTCTGGGATGTCTCAACCAACTACCAAGAAAACAATGAGTGTTTTGATAAATTAAATCAGGAGAAAGCAAAATTTAAACTTGAATAACTTCAAGAACATTTTGGTGTTTCCATGACATTCAGTCTCTATAACCTTAACACAAATTTATCATTGGCCAATTTAATCACAAACAATATTTTGCAAATCATGACTCTGATACAGATTACATTGAAACAAAGTGTATACTTACAAAAGTGTTTCTTTCTTGAAATTACTGACATCTTCTTGAGAATCAAATTCAAGTGAGCTTGCACTGAGAAAAATTAAAACTTAAGTCAAGGTGCAGCATGGTTACCATGACTGACATGAAAAGGCAACATTTCACATTTGAGAAAACATCCCTTGACAGGTTTTTTTTCCTTTTGTGATATCTTATTAAACTGTCTGATACTTGAACTGCCTGTTATGCCTTATCAATCTTTTTTTTTTTTCAGTCAACTCTTACCTGGACACAGAAGCTAAATTGGCTAAAAGTAAAATGAAATTTATGGAAACAACTGATATGGACCCCCTTATTATAGAATAATAGACACTGAGAAGTCCTACGTGAAAGCTGCTTTTGTTTCACTCTTGTTAACACATCATTTTCTGATGTCAACCAAGAGTTGTGGACCAAATCATATTTCCTTCTGGAAGTTATCACTGATGGTTCAAGTTTCAACATCAAAAAATCCTGAGAATGATTTCATTTCAATTTACGATAAGGAAATACAGTGCAACAAAGCAACTGTCGTTATGAATGGTGGGTAAAATTTCATTGTTTGTGCGTTTTCATCAACTTTACTAACAACACATACCCAACACTTGCAGTTTTCCTTCTTTCAGAACTTGCTCCAAATGAACCTGAGGAGGCTTGGAACTTAAAAAAATAGTAAGATCACTTCAATTGATAAATATGCTGTCAGTATACAGTGATGAATAATTTACATGTTTCTATCAGATGGTAAGCTCACTTTTAACTCTTTACTTTGCAATTAATTGATTTTACAGATGTTTACAATTACTCCCTTGGAATTGGAATTTTTATTAAATTCAAAAGCCTAGGCTCAGTTGTTCAAAAAGCGGATAACGCTATCCAACCAAGAAATCACTATCCAGCGGATAAGTGTTAACAAACACACTGCGCTATCCACTGGATATCTCTGTATCTATTGTGAAGAACAACTTCACAATAGATAGAAAAGGTAAACCAAATCAATTATCACCCAAATAGTTACTAATTAAAGTACGCAAATGTCAATAACAATCAACCTTGCAAAGCCAGACAGTTTACATACTAGGAGCAATTTAATGTCACCAAGTGCTCACTACAGGAAAATTGTATATCACAGAGAAGACCTGAAACAGTTTTAATTCAAAAGAAAGTTTATGTTGAAATTTAATTCTGATATCAAACCAACTACTTGATTTTAGGAATTCTTAAGATAACAATAATATACTATATCCACAAGGCGCAGTGGCCTCATGGTTGGTGCGCTCGACTCCGGATCGAGTGGTCCGGGTTCAAGCCCCGGCCGGGGACCAGGTGTTCAAATGGGTACCTGCAAATTTCATGCTGGGGGGTAACCCTGTGATGGACTGGCATCCCATCCAGGGGGGGAGTTGAAATACTCTTAGTAGCTTCCTGCTACAGAAACCGGAGTTAAACACCAACCTGATGGGCCACTAGGCTCGTAAACAGACTTTACCTTACCTTTTACTATATCCACAGCATTTAAGAAAAACAAAACTTATGACTTCTTATTTGAAACTACTTTAATTTTTCATTTAAACTCACACATTTAACCAAAACTGAAATTGAAGTTGTTCATGAGATGCTCTATTTATACTGTTCTGAGCTGTCATAGTTAGAAAATGACTTAATAACCTTTCCAACAGCACAAGTTTGACTTTTATTTCCAAAATAACGAAAAGGAAATTTCTAACTTAAAATCAAATAACACCAAAACTTAAAGTTTAAAGGAAAGCACTTGACTCTTATCCAAGCTTGTGATTGATGATAAATCCAAACAAACAATTATGCATCATTTTCATATTTTGCCAAAATTACAAAACACATGTTAGTTTTTTTACACATTTTTTTAAAATAACATAATTATACATAATGGCCTCCTTCAGTAATGCAATAACTTAATATTGGTCTTTCCAAACATATGACCTAGGTGCAGAGAGAATTAATTAAATAAGGAGAGAATGTTTAATTACAAAGCCAAGCTTACAACGTGCACATAAATATAAATAACAGATCTCAGAATTCTCATCACTTATTTATAACTAGAGTCATGAATTATAAATAGTGCTCAAAACTGAAAGACAGTGTAGTTCCCCATGAGAGAGATTTTCACTAAAAATATTAAAGATGCTCAATGTTTAATATCAAATAATTTGTTTAATGATCAATATTCAAAAGTATTCAGTTCTGCTTGTCTCTTTACTAAATAAATGCTAAATATTATATTCTGGAAACATCCACATAACATAATTATATTTTATCTAGGATCCCCATCTGTTTGCTTGATCCAATTAGCACTTTGTGTGCCAACAATGTTCTCCAAAATGTTTATGTCATTTCAGAGAGCAATTATGATGACAGAGTAACTGAAATTTGAAATTTATTTTTCAAACACACTTCAGATCTCCATTAAAGAGAATATTTGACTTTCACATTCGCAAATAAAAAATTTTCTTCAAAGTTTTTCACTATTTGTTTGTTTACTAGGCTTTAAATGTTTTTGTTGTTGTTGTTTTTGTTAGAATATTCAAATTGTTATCGTTCCTAAAACTATATTCAATAATTACCGAGTCTGTACTCAGCTGTTCAATCTGACTACGTAAAACTGTACCCAGGCTGACAAAAAAACTCATACAAATTGTGTCATTTTACAAACTTTGAAGTTCAAACAGTGAAGAAAGTATGCTCCCTTAGATTTACTGGCTCTCCCTTGGTTTCCTTAGCTTCATCCCCTTAAGGTTACTGTACCACAATGTATACAGTTTTATTGTCTGAAACATGAGGGGACGCAAATCGTCTGCACCGGAAGTATCCCGGAAAGTCCCATACATTTTCTTAGAATAAAAGTCTAAGAAAATGTATGGGACTTTTTGAGCGCTCCAGGCAGCTTTCCTGTAAGGCGTCATAATCTTGTTGCTACTGACATCGATGTGACAGATAATTGCTTTTACAGTGTTTTCTTTGCCGGCTTATACTTGTCATCAAGTTTCAATAAGACGGCTCTCATTTTTCGCGAGAACAATCTAGTTTTTGTAAATTATGAGATCGGATGCAAGAGCCCGTGTTCAACTAATTTGCTCTTCTTGCTTGGGAGTACATTGATAAAACGTCGGCAGACCTTGAGGCCTCCACTAACCTGGAAATACCAAATAAACGGGAGATAAAATCGTGAAAAAATACTCCCGAGGAGAAACGAAAACAAAATTGAGAACGGAGAAAGCAAAAGCGAAAGCACAAGAAAGAGGGTAATCTGGCTCTACTCGCTAAAACTGAAGTTCTTCCTTGTCACGATCGGCGATCGCTTAAAATATTGTAGAGGGTAATTCCACAAACTTCTGTTGTGAGCACATACCAGTAACTATGCTCGCTTAATGCATCACTGACGACACGAGAGAAGGTCAAAAAACCTTTCCTCGCCACCATTGTTGAGGAAAATAACTAAGAAAACTACATGCACTACAAAGCAATCTGTGAAAAAAAACCAACATTGTCCAGATCCAAAAACAAACATTGTCCAGATCCAACCGAAAGGGACGCTAACGATATCAACCATGCAAACGCTGACATAAAAACCACATATTTAATGAGATTAAATCACCTAGGGAGTTTGATATGTACTCCCAGTGCAGACGATTTGCGTCCCCTCATGAATGCCAGTAGCAAAATGATAGGATATTTTTTCTCAAACAAGACTGTAGGCTTTAAGCCCAGCAAGAGTTGGGGAAAGGCAAGGGATGAAGAAAAGCAAATAAAAATTGAGCAGGGAAAGGGGCTGTCTCTATTTTGGCTAGTATTTGCTCCGAGCCCTTACCTGGCTCCTTCTTTGCTCATCCTACGATTCTCCTTCTTAGCTCCTTGGGATTAAGAAATAGAATGGGCTGCTGTACTTCCTTTGAAAGTTCCCAGGAATTCCCAACCAAACCTCCCTTGCTCAACTTACTCGTTTAATACTACTCTTTACAACCCTTGAGATATTGACTTTACATTTACCCTGGTGTTTCTTAAAAAATTATGGCCATTTTTGTAACCTTAGAAAAAGGTTGGTGTATTTCATGATCAAAAATAACTTTTTTCACTTTTTTTGAAGAATAAGATGCTTTCTTTTAGAACCTGTAAATAACAAGTTCTGAGAGGAATACAAGGCTAAGATTGGCTTCAACATTTCCTAGCAACAAGGTATTAGTGTTGTAAGGGTAAACCTACTTATTTACTGTTTTTACTTTATTTATTATTATGAATCACTGTAGTCTTTATTGCATAATTCTACATTTTTGGAGCACATTAAATGTACCAAGGTAGACCTCTGAAGCCCTGTTTTCTTTGGTAAATCTCTACATAAGATAACTCAGGTTCAAAGAGGCATAACCACATGAACGGTCTTGATCCACCCACAAAAAGAGAGGCACAGTACAGAAATATTAATATTAAAATTACATTTTAGTATGTTAATTTTTAAGTTTATTGAGAATTTCAAATAAATATTATCATAACAAGAGCCAGAAGACACACGGCCAGCAATTAAGGTTCAGCTTGAGAGGCTCAGACTAGTGGAATCGACCCGAAAAAATCGACAGCTTTCGATATCCAGCGTATAAATCTGTTACGTTAGGTTTGGGACTATTATATAAGGAGATGGAAGTTCTTTGAATTCTAATTCAGAGTTTGTCAGTCATAAATAAATAAGGATCATTGTAAAGTGAGTACGTGAGAGACCAAAGCAAGATGCGTTAAACGCCAGGCGTTGAGGTATTGGTGATACAAAAAGGGACAAAATGCATTGGAGCATCCGTGCAAGAAATGTGTAGGCCATTAGTTTCTGTCACACATGTATGAAATGTTGTGTCAAATCGTTTTACCTTATTTGCTGACCATATATCTCCATACCCTAGATCCTTGTCTTCACTTACTTCTCCGCTCTTTCCGGTATAATCTTGATCATTTTGCACCTGGACATTCGGCTCAATCGGTCTTGGAATTCGCCCCTTCTTGATTTTTTTCGTTCGTAGCGCTATATCGGCATCTTCTTCGTTGTCCAAGTCCTCTGAACTCGAGTTCACCAGTTCGTTTTGCTTGCTGTACGGCACATTTGATGCCATGGGTATCGCGACAAAGATCTTTAAGGCTAAACCATGGTTTACGCGATAAAATCCTGATTGAACGGATGTTGCTTTCTCCTCGAACTAAATTTAATTACTAAAATCCATGTTATTTTCTTGACAGTGGCCTCTATTTGGTGCGTACGCTTTTTTGGCTGAGAGAAACTGGAGTTGAGAGAAAGCCTCTTTTTCAGGGTGCAAAATTAATAATCTTACAGGGAAGGTCGCTGGTAACCCTGACAGAATGTTCAGCATGGCCTCTTGCGAAAGCTCTGAGGACGAGGATTTAGCAAAGTTTGCCGTTATTACGAACGTCGTTGACACAGGTATGATAAAAAATTTAATTATCCAGTAGGAAAAATATAGAAACTTGCCTCTTATAGGCTTTTCGCCCTTTTTTTCAGAAGTAGCGATGATAAAAGGAAATGGTACTTCTCTACCAAATTCAAAGTCCAAACTAAGTTTGAGGTCAGTTGAATGAATTCTTTTGAAGAAAAGTTTTCTTTGGTCGTTATTATGTTTTTTTTTTTTAACCGCTATATCCTGTATATACGTTATTGCCAAAACTATAGCTTTTGGGAAAAAGGTGGAAATTGCAAAAAATGGAAAACAAAGTACACCAACAAAAAAGATAAAATGAAAATGGGACATATTTTTTTTTTTTTTAATTTTTGGTTTTTAAATCTTAACAGTACCATAAAAGGGGCTATTGGCATAACGCCTGTGACAATATTTTACCAAAGAAGCGGATAAGAGTTGAAACTGCACAAGTGCAACGACGACAAAAACAAGTTTGCCAGACTAAACCTCGGAAACTTGCAAAACAATTTGTTGTGAAGGAGAAACTCCATTTACCACAAAATTTTACCCCCAAAATACACCATATTATTTGAGAAAAGTCCTGGAAACTTACCTCAAGACATTTTGATTTAAACTGTACCTGAATGAACTCAGTCACCATTTCTTAATTTGTTGTAATGTTTATTTTAGACATTGGCGGAAGGAAGAGGATATTGCTTGTTCTTCGTCAGAATTGATAACACCTGAGTTTAGACACCATGTTGCTAAAAAGATTTCAAAGTTTTTGGATGAGAACTTCATCTGGTAAATGTTAAATCCATTGACTACAAGTTTCATTACAAAGTGATGAGAGTATTTAATTTCAAAAGGAAGAAAATAGTCTCCATTTTAGGCCAAATTTATGTAAATTTCTTGCAGGGGGAATCAGTCATTCTTGCAGCTAACTACAATTTCTGACAGTTATACAGTGTTTCCATAATGCTCTTCTCTGATAGCAGGTGCTGGTAATATTATTTACATTTTGACACCAGTTGGCATCAAATTTTTACAGATGAGTATCACCAAGAAGGCCAGCAGTATTCAGTTTAATGCCACCATCCACAATGGGAGTAATTAAGTATTATATTTTTATTGTTGGATAAAAGTATCTTGCATTTTCATAAGACTTGATTTCTTGAATCTCCTTTTTGTTATTTCAGCTCTGAAAAAAATACTGGCTTGCAAGATGACCTTGTCAGCAGTTCACATGAACCCTTAGGAATCAAACTGCTCTCAAAATCCAATCAGTTACTACTGGGAGAATCTGCAAAGGAAGTGCCTAGCTCTACTGTAGCAAGAAAGAATACAAAATTCTCAGTTAGCAGCGAAAGGTAAGATATGTGCTACTCCAATGGATGCCAGGGTATTAACTTTACAGAAATCAACTGACCTTTCCATGAATGGTGAAGAAGACAAATGAAACTTTGAGAGTCACAAAGTGACCCTAGCTGGCAAACTCCAATTAAAAAATTTCCAGAATGAGATGCCTGAGATAGTTCAGGCTTCGATAGGATTCCAGCACATGGCTCCCAGATTCTAGTTGAGCCCCACTACCAACTGAGCCCATGATGGGAGTGACGCAAATTTAGGAGAGTTCTTTGCTTGTACAAAGGAACAGTTTCTCTTCTATAATAATATGGTAGTTGACAATAATCCCATGAGCATTAATGTAGGCTATAACTTTCCCTTATCCAACCACTGCAGTTTGAAATAAGTTATGCGAAAAATCCTGTAGTTTTTATTTTCCAAGAAAGGCTCATTGTGTATGAGTTCAGATTCCATAGTCTGGTAACTAATCAAAACTCAGGAACAGCAACTAACAATGGCTAGTTTCTAATGATCAACAGTAGTTATTCTATGCAGGCTTTTTGGATACAAGATACAGCAATGAGTTATTTTGTATCCATATAGTGCAACGTAAATAATGTTTTTACTAAAACACCAAGCATAGGTGATGAGTTTTTCTACCTGTGCTTATTCTAAGGAATCAAATGAATGCTGACTATCAAAAGAATTCTGATATACCCATGATGTAATGGCACAAATGCTTTGAAGGATTAACCAATTGTAACCTTGTAATTATAATGTGCATTAATTCAGTTTTGTGTATCACCATTGGCTATGTCCTCTTCTCTTTTGACCAGTATCTTAAGTTGTTACGTATTTGAAATCTCTTTTGTTGATTTATTTACATGTTTGTTTGATTTTGATGTATGGATTTTGGAGTATGTGTGGGTTGTTGTTATCGTACTGCCTCCTTTTGTTGGGTTTATTCTGGTTATCTTACCGTGTTCTGCAAATACATTTCATGTTATCCTGCTGATTGTATTTTACTTCTCAGTGATACTGATGAAGAAGAATTGAGTCGTTTAGCAGAAGCAGCAGTGTCTGGACACTCAGTCATTCAAGAAGGTGATATCAGTGTGCATCTTCTGGTACCTTATCAATAACTTACCGCCTGGCATAATAAAATTTCAAGTTAGCATTTGGCAGACTTTTAGAATTCTCTTTGTTACAACAATGATATCTCGGTCACTCTGAGGATTGTCTTCTAATAAGTTGTTACCATGGTATCTTTCACTCTCTGAGGATTTATTTCATTCTCTATGTACGTTTAGTTTTTCACATACTTCGAGGAGTGTGTTTCATGAGAAATCTGAATGTTTCTTAAGCGTCTTGCACAGAGCTTGTTATAAGGTGGTTCACTGACAACTTAGATGAGTTTCCTAACACCTCATACGAATTTGCTGACAAGTCAGAGGAGTTCACCGCGTCTGAGCGGCTTTGCAAGAACTTAGACTCGGAGTAGTCCGCTGACAACTCGCAGGATTTCGTGGACTACTCAGAGCAGTAAAGAGTTTAGACAATATGTCAGGGGAATTTATTAACAATTCTGAGCATTTTGGCGACAACTCAGAACAGTAGAGCGACAACCCTGAGCAGTCAACAACTCAAAGAGGGTTTGCCGACAGCTCTGAGCAGTTGACTGACATTTCCGAGAAGTTCACAGACAACTTAGAGCAGTTGGCGAACAACTCTGAAATTTTTGCAGAAAACTCAGCGCAGTTCAGCAGCAAATTAAAATAGTTCCTTGACAACTTAGTGAGTTCGCTGACAACTCTGAAGAGTTTGCAAACAACTTAGATCGATTCGACAACAACTCTAAGAATCATGTTGACAAATCGTACCAGTTCGCCGTCAGAGGTCAGACATCAGCGCTATAGAGGGAGCTCCGTGATTAGAATGTTTCCTTTCCACTCTAAAAAGCAAAGCTAGCGCTTTCAAAGTCATTAATTCACTCTAAAAGTATATGTGAAAGGGATGTATGATGTATCCGGATAATTATGGGTAATAAAGTAATGCGAAAGAATGATGTTGCTTTTTTTAAATGTGTAACGCTAAGGTAGTGATGAGGTACAAAAATTGTAGGTTAATAACAGACGTGTCGTGGTTCTCTTTATCTTTGACTCTGTAGGACCCGGTGGAGGTGAAGAAAAAGCTGAAGACGAAGCTAAAACTGAAAGAAAACGGAAAAAAGAGAAGAAAAGAAGCAAGGAAAAGAGGAAAAAGAGTAAAGTGGGCGAAGAACTAAAAGAAAAGAAGCACAAGAAACACAAAAAGGAAAAACACAAAGATAAAACGTGAAGTTTCTGGATGGTTTGGAAGTGGGACGTGTTTTGGAAAAAGATATCCGGCGCCGTAAATGGGGATATTTTAAGGCTAACCGCCGAATGGCGACAATATGTCGCTAAAAATTCTTGGCCATTCCAAGTGAGCTTATGTAAAGCGACCTGATGCGCTTGCTGCCTTCCGTGACGATCAGGGCAAAAATCGCACGTCTCATTCGTAGGCTGGCGTATGACTATGCCGATGAAAAAGTAATCAAAGGTTGAACAACTGTGATCATCGGCTTTATTCGCATCCGAAAAAAAAAAACAAAAACAAAAACGCACACATCTTTCAGCAGAAGCCTACAAACGAGAATAGGTTACATGCCTCTGATGTCGGGGACAGCCAAAGAAAAAGTGGTAGCGATCGAACTATGGACTATGCTTCATGCGTGCTTCTGAAAACATCCGACTGAAAATGAGTAACCCAGGGAGATATGCCAAGATAAAACGATATGTATTCGAAGATCAGGTGGTTGCTCCATAGTTCTGATTTTGAAACTTGCGATAAGGGTTTTCCCAGCGCATTTTCTGTGAACAATTGCCATTTACTATTCTCAAGAATGACCGTGTGATCTACGTGCTATGAAAACTAGAATTTCAACTGAGCAACCAACCAAAACTGCTACGAGGGCGTGGGTAGGGGACCCCTAGGGTATGGGTAATGTGGTAAGAGGATTTCTCTGCCGGGTAAACAACTTTACTTGCCCACTTGCGGATAACTGGGTGAAGTACTCGACAAGACCTGAAGAATCTAAAATAGCAACGTAGATTTAAGGCTTATTAATGCTTCCATCTTGTTACGCTGGTTCGAAAATTTAGCAATCGGTGAATTCTCCTTTTTACCCCAGTGTGAAGTTGACTGAAAAATTTTTGTGACAGAAGGTTGTATTGTTGTAATAACCAGTATTGAAATGGCAATTGAGGGGTTGAAACCTATTTTAATGGGTTCTTGTGAATTTTATAAAATGCAATACAGCAAAGCCCGTGAAACTTAGCTCAGCGTAGCTGTAGCTACAGCACTGAGTATATATAATGTAGCGTGAAGTGTTCGGCACTGAACAAGAAACCAAGAAAGTTAAAAGGGGGGGTGAGATTGAGTTATTCCCTATTTGTTAGGAGTGAACGGAAGGAAGGTTCACGCTTATGATGCTCGGTACAAAGATAGAGAGGCACTCTCCTAACAAATAGGGAATAACTCAATCTCACCCCCCTTTCAACTTTATGAAGAAACCAAGAAATTTAAAAGGGGGGGTGAGATTGAGTTATTCCTTATTTGGTAGGAGAGAACGGAAGGAAGTTTCACGCCTATGATGCTCGGTACAAAGATAGAGAGGCACTCTCCTAACAAATAGGGAATAACTCAATCTCACCCCCTTTCAACTTTATCAAGAAACCAAGAAAGTTAACAGGGGGGTGAGATTGAGTTATTCCCTATTTGTTAGGAGTGAACGGAAGGAAGTTTCACGCTTATGATGCTCGGTGCAAAGATAGAGAGGCACTCTCCTAACAAATAGGGAATAACTCAATCTCACCCCCCTTTTAACTTTCTTGGTTTCTTGATAAAGTTAAAAGGGGGGTGAGATTGAGTTATTCCCTATTTGTTAGGAGTGAACGGAAGGAAGTTTCACGCCTATGATGCTCGGTACAAAGATAGAGAGGCACTCTCCATGAGCAATACGAACGCAACACTGAAAGGCGTCAACTGATTCAACCTCCTTGTAACTAAATTTTTATTTTTAGAATAGTGCCAAGGGACCATAGGAGATTTCAGGAACCAGCAAAATGAGAATTTTTGAAAAGAGAGCAGTGGATATTGTGGGGAAAGCTTCCAGGAACTGAAGGAAGATTTATTGTAATTCAGGGTCACACGAGAACATCAACTTTTTGACCTCGGTCAAGGGAAGATTAAGTAGGGAAGAGCAATTTGTCGCAATGAATTTGAGGAGGCAGGGAAGACACATGGTTGTCAGTTTCATAATGCCCCCCGTCCCCCTCCCCCCCTCCCCACTGTAACCATGTCTGAAAACTTGAGGAACAAATGAGAAGCAAGGATAAACTCGTTGCCAGATTGGTTTCAATGTGATTTTATTTAGTTTCCTGCATGTTGCTTTAACCTTTTTTGTACTCTGAGCCTTTACTTTCCTTTTGCTTGTATTTCCATATTTTGACTAGAACTTAAAAACTTTCTCTTTAATTCATAAAGTAATTTTGACTCGTTAATGTATGTCTTTAATAGATCGGAACAATTTTATTCATTCTGTCTACTCCAAAATGACTGCTTCGTAAAGTGAACCTTTTTCGCTAAGTTCAATTTCAGCAATTTCCTTGGTTGCAATTTACCATTGAGAATGCATTTCTCACTCATAATTCTCAAGGGAGATATTTAATTCATATATAAATCTTTATCACTGAAGATTGTGTCTATGTCTAAGGTGATCTGTATCTTCCATGCAAACTGAATTTACACCTGTTCACTTCTTTTTGTCAGTGTTGCATGTGATCGAGCACGTTTGCGGCACGTCCATTTGTTCGTTATTTAGAACAGGTGCTTTTTATGTTGATAAAACTGGTTGAGTCCGGAACGGTTTGTTTATAATGAGTTTTGTGCCCTTTTCGATCAATTTGCCACCTCAAAGCAGGGTTATGAAAGATGTGTTTTCGTGGATCAATAAACCGGTTGTTTTTTAACCCTTTCGTGGAACAAAAAGTTTCCTCCTTCGTTCAAAATGCCCATTTCCACCGGCGTCTGCACGGAAGTTTTAGCAGTAGGGGACGGTGAGGAAAGATCTCCGCTTTCTGCGCTACTCTGATTATTATGTACATATAATGACGACCCTGCTATCAGCTTACAGCGTTTCAAGAATATTGTGCTTCTCGACCGTCTTCGGTAAGAAACTTGTCTAGGATTCACGTAAGCCATAGTACAACCAAGCCCAAGATCCACACATCTAAACAAAGATTGGAAAATCAGCCATGGCCATGGTTTAGGTATGATGGTTTTTTCACTGGAGTACATATTGTGCATGAAAAAAATAGAGTACAACTGCAGCCCAACGCCAACGAATCCCAACAACACTGTTATGTAAGTTATCTTGACAAGTTTCGTAACATTCGAAGGCGGACCGTCCCTACTGTGAAGGCTTCCAAACCGTCGAACAGACGACCGCGTTTCATGCACAGAGTTGAGAATTATTCTCCCACTGTAGATAAAACTCACAGACAGTATCAAGCTCAGGAGCATGAAAAACGTCTCGCAAACGATGCTAAAAGATATCCAGTCCGCTGACAGTGATATCACGATTTCTGTGATTAACGCTAGTGTGAAGTGGAACGCGATCACACAACTCACAAACTTCACACTTTGAAGTTTTTCAGGATACAGTTTGAGCTTCGACAGCTGGAGAAATGCCAGATGGACCAGAAAGAATGAAGCCGTAATGCACGGAAGGGCAATACCAAACAATATTCTGGTCAATATGATCGGACAACTCGTCGATAGAAAGCATTCTTCGGACTCGTATGGGTTGATGAAGAAGAACGCAGCTCTCGAGGAACCAAATAAGAATAGAAGTGAGCTTATTGCAATCGCAAGCAGAGGTTTCCTTCTGTGTTTCCTTGTCGCCAAGTTTATAAGTGACCAAAGAGCGTACAGTGCTAGAAGTGCAAAAAGGGACCCAAATCCAGCCCAGTGGAGGACCCAAACCCATTTCCAGGTTTCTTTTGCTTGGTCCCATTTTGGTAGAGGCTCAAACGCTACTTGTATAGTAGGTTCCTCATACGGAGTGTCTTGGCTTACACTTGATTCAGGCTCACTCAGTGGCGTTGTGTTGCTCATTTCAAAAGGTGCAGCTGTAGAGAAGAATTGAGTTAGGGATTAACAAATGAAACAGAAGTGTATAGGGATTTTGCCGAATAAAAAATTTTTTCTCGAGCGTTTTGAAAAATAAACCTAAGGGCAAATATGAAGGTGGTACATAAGAGTGGGACACATTTCTTCCTCTCTCCACCTTAACATGTTCGAAAATGAAAAACCGACCAAAGATTTGGTCAATCAACGGGTAATAGTCTCAAATATATCGTAAAAGTAGCTTAAGTCATGAATCAATAATTAAGGTTAGATATTGGCACCCAAAGTAAGAGAGTAAAAGTTCAATTTAGGAACTGAAAACAAGGCCCTTGAATGATAAATGAAACTTGCCGACTCTGGCGACCAGAGTCACAGAAGTGACTGTTACATAAAAACCTCTGGTGAAGAATACTTACGTAATAGTTTTGTAAACCAGTCGATGAGCGCAAAATATTCCAGCAAAAGAACAGATCAAAATGAATTATAAAGACAGTTATTTGTCTGTTGCTATTATTAAAAGAAGCAGACAGTTCAAAGACTTTTGGAACGTGCAGTTTTACCATTACACTGACCACTAAAGGCGACGACAAACGAGTTCTAAGTTTCCTGATAACCTGATATTCAAAAAAGGTCGGCGAATGATTCCAACCGAACAACATGATGTTATCATATGCGTCGACAGCTCAGATTTTTTGTTAAAACAGTCATTATGTCTGACAGCCCTGAGCACATTACGTTTTAACAGATAAAGGGATGTGCAATTTTAAGTGACACTATCTTACAGTTATCCATTTCAAGTAAAGTTGCCATACTCAGAAACATATGAATGACTTGTCACTTAATTTCAGTCATTAAAAATGAAAAGCACTCACATTATTTTTCCTCAGTAAGTACAAAATGCTTGGTTTAAGATCCACTATTTCCTTTTCAGTAATATTGTTCTAATACGAATCATGCTTAAATTTCCGGGCCTCTCTTTGTCAATATTACATATTAATCCACGCTTTGACAGTAATTCTGTGGTTCGATTTAATTATTTTAGAGAGTAAAAATTTTGCGATGTTCTGATCAACATTCCACTTTAAGTACTGGGTGTCTTTTCGGGATAAAGTACGATTTTTTTCCAAGATGCCAACATGGTACGTGTACTACCGCATAACAGGCTCCATGTTTCGTGCTATACTTTACCATAAAAAAAACAAAATACGAGACTCACCCCTTTGCTGTTTCATATCCCTAAAAAACACAACCTTAAGATGAGCCAAAGATAGCTTGGGATAAATGTAATCTGCCAACAACATACTGAAGAACTATGACCCACTGCAAACAATAAATCAAACTCCTGGGGCAACAAAACAATGTCTCCATATTTCCTATGCATTTCCCTTTGGCTATCTACAAGTACAAACTCAACTTAATTAAAATCGAAGAGGGTCGTTTTGGAGAAAAATGAACTTTAAATATCACTGTGTACTCTTCCATATTTTTTAAAAGAATTACCGAGGATTTCATAAACCGATAAGAACCTCCATCCCTCTGAACTTAAGGTGCATGTGGAATTTATATAGACTCTATTTAATCACCATTCGATTATTTAATTATTTATTTGCCTACAGCTCAGAGATTTTTAGAGTCCTGCGGGCATGTTTTTGGTGTTTTTCAGTTCAAAGTTCATGCAAAGCAACTGTCTGCTAATCAACTTTAACTTTGTTATATTTCCTTTGCGCATATCTCTTTCACCCCAGCCGGGGAAACAATTTAATTACTTTTCTCCTACTAATGAATAAATAGATAAATGCTGCGATTTGTTGTTGTTTTTTTATAACAGTAGATTTTACTGGCGTATTCCATAGAAGAAAATTCCATTTTTTTGTCCTGTATTTGGTAGTTAAAACGGTTGTAATTAGCATTAGGGAGTTTTAAAGTCTTGGAGTTTACATTTACCAGAAAAATATGCTCAGATTTTATGTATTCCTCTAATCCTGAAAGTAAACTTTGTAGAAAATACTGAGGAAAAACCTCTCGATCAGAACTTATGCAAATATGTTCACTTAGTGCACTTAAAAACAAGGAAGGGAAATTTCTTTCTTTCCATTTATCGCTAACGTTATCCATAACCCATGTTACACTCACCGGGCTCGCTTACAGTGGTTGGGGTATTTAATGTAAATTATATATGTCTAGGTTGGTTGGTCTGCCGTCTTTGTGCCATTTGTCTCTGTAACTCCCCTTCGATAGATTGATAGAGTTTTCCAAAACTAACATTTTTTAGCTGTTTTCGCAATACTAGAAATGTTTGATAAACAACATCATAGTGTTCATTAGTTTCTAAGCAAAATAAATTAAAATGCGTCTCTGTCACAATTCTGTGAAGGGTATGTTTATTCTGCCCTTGAAGAAGTATTCACCTGCTCTTCTTATCATTCACTAGGTGCCAAATGGAGACATCTTTCTAGCGGCTTTTCTCATAAATTATCACCTCGAAAACGTTATCTCGCCCCAACTCATAATTCCCTCCAGGAGCTCGAGGTTCAAAACGGTATCCTAGATTTTCTCGTATCAATTGTTTGGTATGTTGCAACAACTTCAATTTGTTACTACGTTAATGGGGTCTAAAGATTCTCAATAATCACCTTCATTTTTTCCTATAGTTGAAGGTGGCTCTGAACCTAGCTCTACTACAGATCTTTTTTAAAAACTTTGCTGAAATCTGATTCTTGATAAGCTAATCACAATTTTACAGTGCGAAATGGGTCTTCAGATTTCTATCGCAGTTCAAAGTTCAAGTTTAAAGTTGCGGTAGTATCGATCTATTATAGAACTCGTGCTTAAAAATAACGAAACTGCTGTTAATCAGGGAAACCTCTGGGATACTCAGTCATGCAGGAAGGTTTGAGTGAAATCGCCTCATCTTTTGGTAATTGTTCAATTACCTCGTATGCCCCCGATTATAAGTACGAATCTCTTGTTTCTTTGAGTTAACGCAAAATTCTTTCCACGAACAGAAGTACAAAATAACGAATAGACATTTTTCATCTCTTTTGTTGAAATGTGTACGTGATCCAGCTACTGAATTTAAACTCATGAAATTGCTACGTCACCATTTGTGTATCGAGATTTTAAGTCAACCTGCTGCAATCCATTCTTGGCCATCCAGATTCTTCTTTGGTTTGTTATCGGCCTCTTTTATGTCATTTTTAGCTAACTAAGGTAATAATTTGTAGTCTCCTCCAATAATAAGTTAGTTTTTCATGGTTCAAAAATAAAAAAAATTCCAAACGAGGCGTGAAAATATTAATGTTTTTCGTGAGTGACTAAAACAGAAATTACTATTTTTAGGCAATTGAGAGTATATTTTCTTGACACTGAAAAGTAAAAATGTCTACCTTTCTGAATGACTAAATAGCAAGACAAAACGAAAACTAAGAGCTATCTAAGTTGCAATTTTCGTAGAATACTATACCTGGTTGAATTGTTGAAAGCCTGACTGATCGGCTGCAAGTGTAAATCCCTAATGCCTGTCATCATTGCGTGCTTTGTTTTAATTAAATTAGTAAGTACAGGTGAACAGGAACCTTTTAACACCTAAGACCACCAAACAATAAGGAATTTGTCCACCTGCTGGTTGGTTAAACTCAATGAGGTCGCGTAAATGTAAACGTAGCATGGTCTCTAGGTGGGAAATCTTTCGATAAGTCGTTTTCCATTATTTTATCTCTCCTAGAATCTGTTTTAGAAATTTCGAGTGACTTGGATGAGAAATATTGAAACAAAGGACATGCATCACGTCCAGTTCATTAAAAATTCTCTGGAACTTTCATAGCTATTGCATTTTTAAACGTTTTTCGAAACCTGACGGTGCATTTTTGGTCCAGTTGTCATATATCATTGCAGACAGGTCGGAACAACTTTCAATTAAAGTTGAGCTTTGAAAGAAAGAAATTTAAAGGAGAACAGGTAATGGAAAAATTACGAAAATGAGAAATTGTGAAAGGATGGCGATGTCTTACATATGGAGAAATGAAAGGTGTAGAACAGAAATGGAAGGTAATTGGAAAGTTTTCGAGCTCAAATTGGTGCAAATCCTAACGCATAAGCAACCACAATCGATGATTTAAACTTTTTCAAAAATTTCTCTGCGCAAACTGCATTTGTAACATTTTTTCGAGAGCACATATTCAAATCGTTTCCTTCAGACAAATCACAAGTGCCACTACCAGCCGGGAAAACCGCCGGAAACCGGAAGGCTTTTTAATCGACGTCGGTAGACAGCTTGTTAGCGCAGAATTTCCTAAAGCTGGCTATGTATACTTCCTGAAGAATATAGTTCGCATTGCGTGGAGTAAATTTCGTAAAGAAATGTCTCTTTAGACATTTATCCTATGATAAAATAATAAGTCATACTACTAATTTCTTTTGGAATTATGCGACCATCCAGTTTTTGCACCTTTATACTTTTCTGCAAAAATGTTTAACATTCCTCAATTAATATTAATTATTCATTTACCTGTTAAAACGAAGACGGAAAGTCACTTATAGCAATCAGTTTGAACCGTTGTAATTCAAGGTTGAACATTTAGATTTTGCAAGTAAACTAGCTACCTGTTCTCTTCAAGACAGGGGTTGCAGACGACAAGTCAAGAAGTGAGAATTTTCTTCTTCAAATGAAAGAATTAGAAACATCTAGAAATTTTGCATGAGAATAAAGCCGATACGAGCTGATATCATGTGAAGTACTAAGGGAACATCATCGACCGCTGCAGTGGCGGTCACGCAACAGAACCACGTGATATTGCTGTTGTTTCACTTCAATGGAGGGAAAATAACTCATAAACATTTAAAGATAATAGGCACGAAAGGTTTCCCAGGCTGGAAACATGGCGTCGAATTAATAAAATAATGCAACCAACAATCGAAGGAATTATTGGTATTCTGTGATGGAAGGTGACAATATATATAACGGTTAACAGGCACTTGAAATGATGTAGATGACTCTAGGAAAAACTGTTTACTACAGCAACTGAAAATAGATTTAGTGGTTTCCTTAATTTCTAACGTTTCTGATCCCTAGTTAATTTTAAAAGTGGTTTCAAAAAAAAAATCGAAAAAAAGGACGAAAAATTAGTCCATGAGGCGGAGAGACAATTCGTAAAAAGCATTTCCGTTCGGCCATCTTTTCATCGACGCCGCTTTTGGGAAGATCAAGTAATCTGCAACGACAAGGCCGCAGCATCGACGTTTACATTGAGTTAGATCTGCCTTAGATTGTATAAAATGAAACGCGGTTTAAAAAATAAAACGATATCAAGTACAGTTGCCTACCTTTTCCTGAAATCAGAACTTAAATGTCACATCAGCATTCCTAAACGATTATTTGTGCGGGATTCCAAGTTCCAATGACTCTATAGTGTAGACGAAGAAGAAAAACACCCTTTAAATCGGCTGTATTCTTTGAGCAACAGACGTCTGTGCAATCTTCCAGTAATCGTCAAAACAACACCAAACAATGTGTTCGTATAGCGCTTGTGAAATGAGTGCAACACCCACACAAGATGATTTGTGTATAGATCGATTTATGAGATGGTATTTGCTGTTGATGATGGTGTAAAATAATGAGAGTATTTGAAAATTTATGACCAATATCTGAGTCAGAGGTCTGAATTTGAATGATTATTAGAAACCGCTAACGTACTGTTATCACCTGATTGCATGATTTGAACGCCGGTATCTTGCAGTGTAACGGGTTGGGGTTGAAACACTTCTAGAGATTTTAAAAACGACCACTTTATGCTTTAAGTCACTAGAGAAACGCGAAAAAACACTATATTTACTATAATGCAGACTCCTTGCTAAACTGCCAATACTGTATAAAAGAATCTTTTTCAACTCCTGATACAGCTTGAGGACGTTCAATGGTTTTTTTTTTTTTTTTATTTTTATATGGCGACCGCAGCTGTGGGCCATCCATTGATTATTACCAAAATCTTGGGAAAATTTTGACCATAGATTGTTTTTGATTAATCAAAATTCGAAATGAAAGTAGAAAAGTATAGATAAAAAGTAAACAGTTCGATAATTGTTGACATTATATTTGAAAATAACGATCATTATCAAAAAATGATAACGAATAAAGATATAATGCACAGAGAACGTGATGAAAAGCAAAACCACAATTTGCACTTACCACATTTTTTTCTGATTTGTAAGAAGAATCATAATCTGAGCATATCAACCTTTGAAATTATTTATTCACCGTGTTTCAAAAGTGAAATAGAGACTAACCGGAAGACGCTTCTTTGAAACTGAAAGCCTGAAGGTTTTACGTTTGGCTAAACCTTCCCATAGATTTCCACCTCACCTGACGAGCCAAGTTATTTTAGAGCATGGCGTCATGAACCTGAGAGCGACAAGCGAATATACATGTGCAATGTCGTGAACCTCGAGAAAAACTTGACGGCTTGTCAGGGATCGATGTTTACCTTTCACAACAAAGAGTCCTTATACTGAGTGTTGAAAATCAGTCGGTATAACTTTGTTTTAGTTTCAGCTCCTATATGATTGATAGGAAGCCGGCACCAATTAACATCGAATAATCATCAAAGTGCAGACTGAAGAGATTGATAATTGGTTCTTCCCGGGGATTGCTGTTAACCCTTTCCCTTCCAAGATCTTATCAGTAATTCTCCGTACTGTCTGCTATTCAATTCTTATGATGTCAGTTCAGAGAATTCGATATTGGATCAACTAAAAACTCTCTATTTGGTATTTTTTTTGGATTCTCATCAGTTGTCTGCTTGCTATTGTATCGATATTGTAAAGAGAAAGTCTGCCTTGGTCACCTATAGGTGTTCAAGAGTTAATCTACTAACTAATATCATATCACGAAGTTGTCAAAGTGGAAACATCTGGAAAATAAGCCGCGGACCACACTGATTTCAAAACTTACAGCAAAAATTAGCCTAACGACTTGTTAATATACATGAGAATATGTTCAAATCAGCTGGAATATATCTTGATACATAAGCCAGTCATCAAAACCGAAAGATTGAAAACTTGTAAAGCTGTTAACCATAAAAATTTGTCTTCTGCAATCTCTTACTCGCTTCACGAGTTAGATTGTCAGCTTTAAACATAAAGTTGGTCAAAATTCCGAGGTTTCCGCTCTGATCAGTAAAAGTGAGGTATAAAAATGATGAGGGTAACAGAAACATACATTTCAACTCACATTTGTCTCCCTAAGACTGAAAAAAGTGGCTACGAGGTGATCTGATTTGTGTTGTTTTTTTTTTAGTTCGTCTGTCTCAGTTAAAGTAGTTTGAATAGGGTCTTGCAAATACTCAATCAATTATTTCTAACACAATTTTTTTTGTGTGTGTGCGGTTGACATAACGTTCACTTAATAATCCCGAACATATTGGTTGACAAGGCCACCCAGTCACGAAAAATGAAAGTTCTGCCCGTTATCGAGAGTCAGTGATAGACTGGCCTCACAGATATACTCAACTAAACCGCAGACGTTACAGACTAACCACGAACTAAAGAGACAAATTACCTGATTGATTGACACGTGAAGTTAGTCATGTGATTATCTCAAACGTGGGAATTGTTTGATCATCTTTTATTTGCGTTGTTTGTTTTGTTTGATCATAAACATTAAGCCACTCGCTTGAAAAATGATGAGTTGCGCTACGAAGATACTTATATGAAATAAAAGGCAATACAGTAAATGCTGCAATGACTAAACGTTTCTGAAGATTTCAAGGTTTATTCATTATGAACCACTAAAGTTTAGCTTAAATGTTTAAAATTTTAGTCATCGATTTGCAATCCTACTTAATTTTATTAATCTTTAATAACGCAAAAGCTCCTCCAGTTAATCTTAGGGTACTCAGGAAACGCATATAAGTGGCCATTTATTGAGCACAATAGCCTCTTGTATTGGTCAACTGAAATTTTTTTAATTTAAAAAACCTGGCGCCGGAAAGAGCTGCTTTATACTCGACGTCAAGCTTGCCAATCAAATTGAAACAACAATTCATTCAGCTCATACTACTGTTTTTCAATTTGGGAGAGGAGTCCAATATAAACACGCCAAAAGCCAGCTCAGTATCACTTTAAATGTTTTTGCCATCAAGGAACGAAATGTAATGATTGTAAAAGATACAATTAAAAATCCAAGGAGATAATATAACGGATTAGTTTGAAACCTTTTCGACAGCAAACTCGAAATTTAACTTCAGTTTTGAGCAGTTTGTTTCGAAACTCGCCGAGCTACTTCTATTAATTCAGTGAATTTTCTGTCGCCGACGCCGGCTTTAAGATCACTTTGCTCGAAAGCTTAAAAGGCTGCTTTCTATTTTCTGGAAATACTTGTTCAAGGGCCCGTAAACTCCTTCTGTCTTCCAATGAAAGGCTTCAATTTTCAGCTTTTTGACGGAGTTCCGAACGATTTATTCTCCTTATACCAAGGAACTCGTATCAGATCAGAGCTTGTAAAACACAGTATAGAAAATAACTCTGTGAAAAAGATAATTCAATGGAGTTTTCTCTAAATCAGTATCGTTGAGCTATAGAACGCAATTCTTTCGTGTTAGTGACAAGTGTCGCTTCATGAACATACTTTTTCAGTTCAAAATTATTGTCTCAACACAGTTTCGCACTAAATGTCCTTAAAACTCAGTATTTTTGTCTATAGGAGTGACCTTGCTCCCAATAAACCGCTTCTATGAAACAAGGAAAGCTGATCTGCTCTTTCACTGCGAGAAAGCAAACTCTCACTTACCTAAACAGTTGGTCGACTGAAGTCCTTTTACTTGGCAGCTGTGAGAAAACTTTCCTATAAATCTTGAATATCAAGATTTTCATTCACAGGGCCAAGAGAACGATGCTTAATTTCAATTGTTCTTGTAAAGTGCATTAAAAGATAAGCAATATGTGTGGAAAAGCTTGTTAAAGTTCAACGACAGATGCCAAGCCAAATATTGTGTTTCCGATCCAATATACGGTACTACAGGCAAAGATTGGATATCACTCTGTTTTATGCATGTCATAACATATTAGCGCCTTGCTTTTTCTATTTTGGACAAATGTAGCTTGTTAGTACGGTATGAGCTGAGTTGTTTTGTTTTCTTTCTTTGTTCAATAACATCGCCCCTTTTTAAAAAATGCTATTTTCGGCGAACGCCTTAATACCCCACATTAAAAGTCAATCTTTCTAAAGCACCAATATATGCGGAACACAGTCCTTCCCACACTTCAGCGTGGGTTACGTCTCTGAACTAGCGTGGTAGGACTAAAATTATTAATGATGAACCCGGCGTCTGCATGGGGAAAAAAGAAAAAAATAGTGATCATGCATTACAGATGTTCTAGAAAAAGTTCTCAGGATACGTGAAACATTGCCAAGATAGATGGGAATAACAGGTCACTTTGCACTGATGCACTTTTTTTAATTGCTAAAGCTATCAACGGTAGCGAGCTAAAAAGTTTAG